TGTTACCCTCAGGCCTAGTGAGTAAAGCCATCAAACCAGCAATGTTGCCAACAGTTTATTTCCGGGCCTAATTCGCATACACACACTCGAGCAAATGTATCAGTACTAGTTGGAAAGATAATTATCGAAAGCATCCTATATCTATCTATACCCAATCAATTTCATTTTTAGGTATGAGTATATACAAGAGGTATGATAGAGCGGGATAGTCTTCTTGACTGTCGGCAAGAATGAGTTCCAGCTCTGCAATACAACGGGATTCAGCCGTCGTCTACTGATGAGCTCAATCTACGAATCTATTCTTCATGCACTTTCATTCGAAATGAACGTGCCCCCAAACAACGTTATTTCAGGAGATTAATCGGAACTAAATTACTATTCCCTCTTTCGATATTTGGATGTTTTTATCCCCTTTTTTGCAGCTTGCTCTTGTTTTCATGAGAACCTCGAGGCAAGTAAGTCGTCAGTAGTATTTTGCCATTCTATTGGTAATAATAATAATACGAATAAAGCGGGTGAGGAAGATTTGCAGATCAAGAAAGGACGTTCTCCGTAAGTGCAGTACGCCTGAAGGAACAAAAACAACTTTGGAGGCATGGCGGTCACAGGAACGGGGACAATCACAACCGTCCCAGGAATTTGGTATTATGGCTGGTAGATCGGAGCCAAAGTGAGATGAAATCCAAGCCCAAACATGAATCACCATTTGAAGCTCGTACATCAGTTCATTTGTTTGTGTAAGGAAACAGTTGCTACCGAACGCACATCTGGTTCGAAAAGTAAATGCACTCATTTGCAAGCATGTAGAGTACATTTGGAGTAGTCAACCAAATCATGGTTGCGTATCACAAAGCGACTGGGGTTGCAGACGACCACCTTTTTTCTTGATTTAGTATGTTTTTGCTGTGATTTCTGATTGGGTCTGTCCCAGTACAGACGAAAGCTTAGCGAAGATTCATCGGGTCTGCATGACGGTGAGCAGAAAACTTCTTAGCACAATTCAACAATTCGGCTTCCGGTGAGACCATATCACGAATTCCTTCCAACCAACTTTTCATTCTAAAGGGAGAGTCATACTACAATCTTCTTTTGAGGACTTATTCGAAACCCAGTCTTTTTTCATATTCCATCAGTTGACATTTAGAGGCCATCAAATTTCCCTGAGCCCTACCTGCCAATATTAGCGAAAACAACTCTTATACAAAATATTTACCTTTATCGGTTTTAATGGCAAATACACGACTACAGCCCTGTCAATTCCACCATCAAAATGTGATATTGGAGAAGCCTGGCTCGCTAACCATGGTTCGAATCTCGTTCAGGAAGCTGACCTTAAGATCACCATCCATCCTCATTGGTATCGTGAGGTCTACTCATGAGTATGAGAAAATTTAAGGATCCATATAACCAAGTTTAGGGACACACCTTCCTCACAAATCGCACGATTATGCTACGGAGCTGCAGGCACCGGCGTGGCCCACGCCGG